GAAGATAGATCGGACGGAGGCGAGACAGCACCAGGGTTTCGCAGCCCTCTGGCCTCGGCTTCTGAGCGGAGAAAAATGCAGCTGCGAACGCATTACCTCTCACTTGGAAGCACCGTCCTCGGAAGTGAATGTAGAGTTTGTCGCTAATACATCATTTGCTGGTATTTTGGAATATCCTCGTTTTGACTTGGGTTTTGTCGGGTAACGCAGCGGACTTTAAAAAATGCTTGACCAGCCCCAATTCTTCGTGTTTTCTGGCTGCACTGTTTGTTCCCATTGTCGTGAATAAGTGGTTTTAATCATACGTTAGAATACGTTAAAAATACGAATTATGAGCTTACTGTAGAAATATTACCAATACCATGACGTGAAAATATGTTTATCTCAAGTTTTGAACAAGAAAGCAGAATAGAATAGAACGAATTGGTATGTACACGACAGTCATTCACTGGATTCTTCTTCCCGACAGTTCCGTAGCGCTTCATCCAGAAAACCTTTAACGAAATAAAGACGGTAATTAAGCAATTTTCAGTAGTCAGTGGCATGATACCTTTCTTCATCTCTCGCACTATAACTCTCATGAACTTCTCCCAGGCTAAAACAGCTGTAGCTGGCGTTGAACCATTCTGCGCCAATTTTGAAAGGCCCTGAAAAGGGAGTCAGTCATATGAGCGGTTTCACCCAAATTTTTATTTATTTGATAATAAATGAAGGCAGAGGTTATCAAGGTATGTGTGTGACACTACTTATGAGGTAGTGCCCATAGCTCCACTATGTACTGATAAGCACGGCAGGTATTACCACTCGCATGTCAGCGCAACTTCTGCCTTTATGTCGCGTTAGCAGTTTGGTACTCAAAGCTAGTAACGCGGCCTGAAGGCAAGAGTCCCGCGAAGCGCGTGAGTACGGCCAGCTGCGCTTTACCGCTAATCGTTTGACCACTGCGGACGTAGAAAGGAGCTTCATTCTTAGTGTTGTTAATTCAGTTGCTGCGGTGTCCCACGACTACCGGTTTAGGCAGCGTTCAGACTTTGCGTCTCTAGGTCGTCTACGCTCTAATTGCAACAGCGCTCCAGTCCTTTATACTTGAACATAGCTACATGCGGAAATCGATCGGCACCTACGGCGCGGCCCTGGTGGCCGTGTCGATCGATATCGAAAGACGTGATTGAGCAACGTCCCCCCCCCCCATACTCTCTCAATACATAGGCGGGCAGCGCTGTCGATTACCGTCCGCGGCAGCCTTACCGTTTCTAGCCTTGGAGGGCCCTTGCAATTACCGCGCGTCGTCGCGCGTCGACGCTCGTTACAGCGTGTCGGCGCGGGTCGTCGCGAAGTTTGAACGCTGTCTCAGTCATGCGTTTCACGACTGAATCACCCCAATCGCTAACTATGAACGCAGTCTCGAAATCACCTCTATAATAAATGGAATACCAACTTCTTCACGCGAAAGAACTTCTGTTTTGCGGCTGTCGGTGAGGAATACTACATAGTCTTTCTGGGCAATATCTTTCGTGATCTCATTCACGACCGTTTTCTCAAACGTCAACCAGTTGACTGCATCGAAATTGACACCCCTAAACATGGAGTTTGTAGGAAGGTTTTCATTTCTGCTTTGTTCAGGTTCAAACTTCTGCCTAGTTATCATGTATGGCCCCATCTTCAGCCCGAAGTGGGTTGACTACCACTTACTACCGCTGCTATTATACCTGTGGAAATGAATCTGGCCAATACGATGTGCCATCGACAAGACATGCTGAATAGGGCAGATTCCGAGCATAGATGTGGCGTTGTCAAGAAAGTTCTCTATCCGAGCAGCCTGGAAAATTTTCGGGCTCAATAAATAACTTCTGGTGACTGGAAGGAAAGACTGTGAGCATGGCCAATCTCGTTTCCAGGAAATAGCCCTTGGCAGCTGTTTACACATTTTCAGACCTAGCACAGTGCCTTTCTCATGAATGTAGGGGTATGTGACAAGAGGATCGTAATTCGCCGCGCTGCTGGGCGTCGCGTGCGACGTCTCGTCTGCAAAGGACGATGGTTTCAGGCAGTAGATGGCGACAACATGCAATTAAGGACCGAAAACAGTAATGAGTGTCTACGATGACGGGGTCTACATGAAGTCCGGTGCTCCATTCGACAGGTTAAAACGAGTTATGAAAACGCCGCCCGTAGCGGTTCGGCAATTTACGATCCTCTTTAGTTCTCCCTAAATGTAGTCCTTCTTTCTTATACGGCAAAGGCGAGGAACGCGTCAGTGAGGAAGGCTTTGTGGAAGGCCTGATACTACCCACACCTTAGTGGAAGGTCTGACACCGCCGGGCTGTGCCTTGGGGATGTAAAACGACACAATCTTCTCAACAGGTAAAATACTTACTTGAATTATGAACTGTCTACATTGCCGTAGACCCTCTATATCGCTAGCAGTTGACGGAATGCCGAAGTAGTCGCGAAATTGCGGCGCCAGCTCGATCAGCCTTTTCAGAAGAGTCTGGCACGCGTCTCTTCTCTTCGCACTCAAAAAACGGCAATTCAGTGAAGAGTTGTCGTAAAGAAACGTAGGAATAGAAACCCTTTTGAGTTCTCTGGCTGGAGCTGTGATAGTTGTGAGGAGTAAGCTGTCATATCACAATAATGCTGATTATGGGCAGAAGTCGGGCCTCATGTTGGACTCGACCCGCCCCTCATGCTTACCGGGCGAGTGCGCTATCTATTATGCCACTAGGGCCGCTCTCACAGTTTCAGCTCAACGGTTCTTGTGCCATAGCCTTGAGACAGGCCAAATTCTCTGAAAACTTTTATACGTGAAGGTCTACTCCCTGCACTCCCTGTAAAGTTTGGCGCCCGTGTTTGAGCCTATGGAACCATGCCGTTTCACAAGCTTGAGCTAGGGCAGCGAGGAAAACGTGGTATGTACGGCAGCCTCTTTCTGACTGCCATCGATGGTGACCTTCATTTCGCTAACCATAAGACATAGTGTCAGCAGACGAATGGATCTAGAGAAGGGCGCCACGGGATAACCTGGTCCTTCTGTACGTACCCCCATCTGTCATCCTTATATCGCTTCATGCCCGTGTAGAAAAAGAGCAATTTCCAGGCCACTCAAAGTTGTGACCCTAATTTTAAAAACAGGAGCAGTAGTGGGTGGAAAGTACCCTTGAATCACCATACTTGGAGTCCGATAACCAAAGCAAAATGGACCTTACGCGCCTATTCAAACACGCTGCGCAATTGGTAATGTGAAGTCTCGACCAAGGCACATTATTGCTAAGGACATCTCTCAACGTGCAGTATCACGTACGGGTGCCCATAAGAGTCTTTTTTCTTCTTTGTTACCACAAGAAGATGATCCCTGTGGGTGCATCGCCATGGCGGTAGGCAGGTGTTTCCAGAAGGAAATCGCGTGAGCAAAGAGAGCAAAGAAGTCGCTGATGCAGTCTGCTATGGAGAGGGACCGTCGTATGAGGATTTGTATTGAAGCGGTCACTTTTTTGATTCCTGGTAATGCTCCACCCCCCGATAGCAAGCTATGTGTGGAAAACCTAGTTGGACGTCGCTCATTTTAGCGGGAGAATAAGCGCGATAATGGCCTGTGGAGATCATATATTATAAGGATCATACCCAATTCAAAAGTGCCGCAAGATCTATTCAAATAAAAACCAAAAATAAGAAAACCAGGTTAGAACAATAAATATTTTGACTTTGAAAATCAACAGATCTCTCTTCACCAACGACTCGCGCGAGAGCAGAGGGCCTCTGGTTTTTAACAAGATGACGAAGAAATGCGGTTGCGCAAATTTCGGCCATATCAAAGCATGCAGCGTTTGTCCGTAGGAGAGCACACTCCAACAGACAAAACAGTCTAGAACCACCAGAAACGGCCTTTACTTGGCGATGGATGATTTAAACGCCCAGCTCCGAAGTAGATTTGTTCCCAGCACTAGCCAGCTGTAAGTACATTACCCAGCGTGCTGCACTAATGTGCTAGCAAAACGGATACTTACTTTATAATATGTGTAGAGTGCGAGCAAACTATCACACACACAGAGGCCATAATTCTTATACTCTTGAAAGCCATACTGAAAACCACCAGAGTACATGGGAATAACCTTCGATCTATAGTATCAATCCGGCACATTAGCGCCCCAGTAACTCTCAATCAGAACTCATCGCGGCTTTTAATCTGCATATCATGAACAAAATTGACGCTCGAAGTTCATCTACGGCAGAATTTCAAGGACCACCCATAAATTTCATACTAGGACGGCCGGAGTGCGATTTTCACAGTCTTAGGAATGAGATCTCAATGACTGAAACAGTACTACTTAGTAGGCAAGAATTGGTACGATTGGAAGTTCCAGCTTACTTACGACACAGAACTAGGCATATAACGCAACTGCTCTCTTATGCGCGAATTTCGGACATAACTCACCAGAAATTCAGCAAGGCAATGTCAGTCCCGCAAATCCCACCCCCTCTTGTCTTGTACAGAGATAGAAACATTATGGATCACCATGAAACAACAAAATTTTTTCCTTTCTTCCTTCTTCGGGCTCCTGAACCAAACCTTCCACCTTGTATTTCGAGAACACCATTACACACAACTACTGGTCCGGCGCAGGTCAAATTTGAGCAGCGCACTTTCCTCTTATGACGCCTGATTTGAAAATCCGGCGCTGATTTCACCACTCGGGCTTCTTTTCAATTTCTCGAGAACTTCTTCTGCGACTAGTTTGCCAAATTTCACAGATACATAGCTAAAGGTACTAGCCTCCAAATGGTATAGTAGCCCGCTGCTCTATCCCCTTTGCTTTTCTGCCATTCCTCTCTATGTCTCGGCACTTTGAATGGATGACCTAATAGCAATGCCCAAAGCGGGACAGGGGACAAAGAGAATGTTTAGCCTCAATCCATGTAGCGAGCTTTGCCATGTAGAGTCAAAAAACTTTCTGGAAGGTTCTGACAAACCGCACTAGGGCTACCCCTAGCCCTTACACACGCAGTCCACTTCGATCATGTGGGCAGAGACATTCACGAGAAACGGCTCCTAGGTTCGTGCGCCCCTCTTTCTTACCGTTGAAGAAGGGCAGGCGCACCATAGTGGAAACACCACGCTCTCGTTTTCCTTCCTTTCCTGGGCCAGCTAGATCAGCGTGAACTGTGTGTAAAGGGAGGGGAAGAAGGGAAATTCCTGAAAATTGCCTTTGTGATGACAGAAAACGTAGAAACCAAAAGACTTACTTTTCCCAAGTCTCCTTTAGCGCGAGAATTTCAGAGTCATTGAGGTGCGGTGATCTGCTTATCTGTCGTCGACAACCAAGCCAGTTGAGCCACTGATGCAACATCAAAACGTGAGCTGGAAACCCTATGATCGTCAAAACTTCCAATTAGGCCTAGAATGGCAGGGTAGTAGGCGTGAGTTGTCACTAACAAAAAGTGCACTTGAAGAGGAGTAGAGCTACAAGGGCAAAAACGATAAGCGTGAGGAATGTCATCCTCTCAAAAGGCACGTCTTACGTGATTAGTTTTTGGCACTAATGACCTTTAAAGAGCTCCTTGTGCAAAACCAGAACCGCTTTAATGGATATGAGTACGTCTGTCTATGTCACATGGGATAAAGGAGCTTGGGGATGGGAGAACACGGCACTATCCTTAAGTAACACATTTCTAGGATAGTCCATGTTCGACTTTCTTGCAATCTTGGCATGATGATATTCGATGTAGTTTGTCTTCGAGCCTCGACAAGATTGAAATACTTTATTAGGCCAACGTTTCGGCGTCTTCGCCTTCGTCAGAGCCTGAAATGGACAAAAAACACATGAGACCTGCCCGCTGAAACGCCTCAACAATTCTCAAGACAATTTTTCAGATCCTAGATCAAGGTGAGCCATAAAATTATCGATCGTTGTTTTACTGGTTTGGTGACATTGTCTTGAGAATTGTTGAGACGTTTCAGCGGGCAGGTCTCATGTGTTTTTTGTCCATTTCAGGCTCTGACGAAGGCGAAGACGCCGAAACGTTGGCCTAATAAAGTATTTCAATCTTGTCGAGGCTCGAAGACAAACTACATCGAATACCGTATTTCTGTTCTGATGATATTAATTTGTTGAGTATTCAGAAACGATAACAAAATGAGCAAGACCCCCATGGCGCTCTTCGGTGAGGGGGGGGGGGTGTGAGTCGGCATTTTGCTCTTTTGCCACTTCCAGCCAGCGTGTCGAGCCATCGAGTGGAGACCTGTGAAATCCTGTCAAACGCGGATACCACACAAGGTTTGAAGAGACCACCTGTCAACTTTTGTAGAACAGGAAATACCATGGAAATACATTTTACCATGGTAACCCGACGAGTTTTCTCCAGCGTCACAAGAGATCACAAGTTTCATTAGAGTGGTATTTGTAAAGTGGATGTGGTGCCCCCCTCCCCACCCCCCTCCCCGTCGCCCAACTGCGCCGACTCTCGGCATCGGGTCAGAGGTGCGGTCCGCAATAGCATGTGTAGTAGTGGTGGTGTAATATTGGCGAAAAGTTGCCAAGGGACTTAGGAGTGTTGCGAAAGAAAATGCCGAAAATCCCTTTAATAAGGCCTCTTTAGCTCTGAGAAATTGTACGAAGACAAGGCCGAAAGATTGCCTTCGGGACGAATCTAGTCAGCCGATTCTTTGTAACAAACCCTACTACCCCGTAGGAGACAGTGAGGTTCCCGTTTCGTACTAATTGCCCGGTAACATTGCTTTTTGCGGGAGTCTGGAGCAGGAGTCACTAGAAAAGTGGTACAGTCACTGGAGCGACAGAGCGTCTCAGCCTCCTTATCTTACAATTTTCCTCCTGCGAAACTGACACAGGGCTCCTCCTTGATGACCACTGTACCCTAGCCGAACGATCTTTGACATTGTCGTCGGTCATCGCGGATTGTCACTTTCATGCCGGTTTTGCGCAAAGAGTCCTTTAAATGCCCCCTCCAGGTTTCTTAGCGCCAAGTTCAAAATAATATTAACGATGTGCAAAATAAAAAGGATCTCAACGATGTAGACAGGAATAATACGATTTGAACCGTATGCACCCCATATCCCGTTGGGGTGGGCATGGCTGCGTACTCATTGATGGCGGCCACGATTTTGGTTGAGTAGTGCCGTTTAGTGACAAATGCAGTCATCTCGTTATTCAGCCCCGGGCTAGATAAAAACTCTCCTAGATGGAAAGGTCCCTCGAAAAAGTGCTTCAAAGTACACAGCCACGCCCTCTCCATATCCGGGATATGAAGAGTGATCTTGTCATTTCTCGTAAACTGACAAAATAGCGAAGAATGAGCTCAGTCGCTTGTTGCTAGTACATCAGAACACGATTTTTAGAGAAGGGTTTTTTGGCTACACCCTTCCAGCCGTGCTGAAATGTCACAATGAAACTATTCGAGGGCGCAGAAGGCGCTTGACACCCCCTGAACACACTCCGGAAGAAAATACAGGAACTCTATATGAGCGCATAACCACGGCGCTGCTGCCTAAAATACTCTCACATTGCGAAGGCGTGAACAAAACAGTCTACCCCGAGAAACGGGTAATTTCCTGTCGAGTTCATTTAAAGCCCGGGGAGAAAAAAAATCAGAGGGGTAAAAAAGGAGGAAATGGTGGTCTTGACATTGAACTACCAGTGAACTTTCAGAAGGAAATGGTGTCACGCCCACACATGCGTCACGCTAAAACTTAACTGACCAGAAAGTATGAGTTGGTCGATGTAGCAATTTGATATGAGACGCGTACCGACAGACGTGCCCTTCGAAGCTGTTTCTGAAACTCCCTTCCAAATCTGCTAAACG